CTATGAAGAAATTAAATAAATACCTTTGACAAAAGTCTGGTTCCAAAGCCGGCATAAAACATCACTTAGTTTAGTGCCTGGCATAAAGTGGCAATTCAATAAATTCCAACTAAATGTATATTTCAATTCCAAACTATCAAATCTAAACTACAATATTTCCTGGCAAATCACATCTTTTCTGATTGATTCCTCCATCACACTGCTTTCGTAAGTCTCATTCACAACTCTAATTCTTGCCCTAAACCAACTTCCCACTCACTGCTACCAAATTAATTTCCTTACCAGAAAGGAAAAAAAAAAATCCTGTTACAACAAGTAGGTCAGTGGCCATGTCTGCTGTATTCAGACTGACTTACCTTTGAGCATGTATATATCTATGACTCTTAAGGGAATATATTTTTACATGTGTAAGCTTGACCACATCTCTGGGCTTATGTGTATGTGGCTGCACTTAGTACTCATCACCATAGAATGGAATGGTTAAGATGAAGGATGTCACCTGAATTCTAGTCCTGGTTAAAAGCATCTACAGGAGCTGTGTAACCTTATATATGTCACTTAACCTTTCTGGGTATCCTCATCTTTGAAATACTACTTATTACCTAATAATACTTAATTTACAAGATTATTGAAAGGAAAAACAGACTAATTTGTGCACAGGGCCTAGCCTCTAGTAAACCTTACTATTCCTATATGCCAAATTTCAGTTTTTCTCTGAGAGAACAATAATCCATGCTTATGCTTTTTTTTTTCATACACTTAATTGCATGCTGTAGCACACTGTTTTCTTTTTTACTGTTTCATATTCATTCAGTGGTTTATTAAAACACTGTATGCTCCTTATGGGGAGAAAATTTGATTTCATGAGAAGAGCCTCTGAGCTTTGCACAGTGCTGTGCAGAGCACACAGCTACTTGGGGAGGGGACACTATATGAATGAACGCAGGCAGGAAATGTTGACTAATTATAAGTTTGTGCTCTGCTTGCTGCTGGACTGTATTGAAATTAGTGCCTAGCATAAGCCAACATGAACAGCATTATTTCACATCTCAGTAAGTCAGAGGCAAATAATTTTAAAAAGTGGAGTGAAAGTCTCCTCTTTCTGAATAGGATGCAGTAGACCAATTACCTTAACTCTTCTGCTATTTAAAAGCACCACAAAGCTGCTCAAACAGCTGTAATTGTGGTGAGAAGAGTCTCCAGAGGAGATAACCCCAAAGAGGTGCCATAGCTGGCTTTCTACTTTTGAGCATAGAACAAATGCCAAGACTCTATGCTTTGTTAAACAGCTCCACAGCTGGAGGACAGAGAAATCACAGGGGTTTGATAATCCCCTGTGCTAGAGAGACAAAATGAAAGACCTAAGGAGCAAGCTCCAGTGAGACTCCATGGGTGCAATACTGAGCTTACTGCCCCTCCATGATGAGCACTGGAAACTGCAGAGGGAGGGAGGCACTAAAGCAGAAATCCTGCCAAAAAAGAAGGAAGTGAGTTCCGTGCTGAGCAAGCAAAAGAATTTCCTTCCTGGGAGAGGAAAGGAAACCTGGAATCACAGCAGCTCTTGTTAAAACTGAGAGGGCTAAAATGAAACTGTCAATAATGTTTTACCTTTTAAAATCTGGAACACAATTTTAAATTTACAGAAAAGTTGCAAAGACGATACAGAGCCATACACAGAAGTGCCCTCTTTCATTGAGGGTCTCTTAATGTGAACATCTGACATAACCAGGGTACACTCAGCAAAGCTAAGACTCTCCCAGCAGTACAGCACAGTTACATTAGCTTCCAGCTGTATTTTGATCTCTAGTCTTCTCAACAATTCCTTTCTCAAGTTAGACTAAGGTGACAACATCACACAGATTCCTTCACATCACATGACACCAAAGAGAACATGATGATTGTGATGTGAGCTTTGGCTAGTCCCTATTCCTCCTCTCCACCCTACATGGGTCTGGGGATCAAGTCCAGGCCCTGTTGAAAATATTTTCACCCAGACTAAGGCTTTCCATTCTTTTACCAGTGCCTTTGATAAGGCAAACATTTATAAACTTTGTAAGGTCCAATTTAACTTGTTTTTGTCTAGCATGGGTTGTGTCAAGTCAACAAAAATTCCTTGCCAAATTCAAATTGTCCATATTTTCTCTATGCTTTCCTTTGAAGATATTGTAATACATAAGGTCTCTTGATATGTTGTGAATTATGGGCCAAGGGAATTTTCTTTTTTTGTTGCTGCTGGGTTGTCTGGGTCGTTTTGTTTTATTTTCATTGGGAACCATTTGTTCACAAGACAAAAATACAAAGTGTTGGGTGGGGAGACAGCCTGCCTTGAAAGCCAGAGGACCCAAGTTCAATGCCAGCACCAGTGTAAGCAACCCCAGCGGTGGTGACACACGTGTGACCTCAGCACTGGGGAGCAGGGACAGGAGATTCCTAGAGCTCCCTCGGCTGGCTTGGCACCCTTTTCACGTATCAGCAACAGCATCTGTGTAGATCAATCTGCGGAATCTCTGTTCTACTCATGTGATATGTCTGTGGCTTTAGTGAATGCTACACTGTCCTCAACGCAGGAAACTGCTAAGGCCAGATGGCAAGTCTTCCACCTTTTTTCTGTTCAGAAGAATTTCTATTGGCAGTGGATAGTTGCTGGGGAAGAGAGAATCATTGCTCCTGGAAGGTATAGCCACTAGCAGGTTTCCCACGCTCCAGTGCAGAGTACACATAAAAGTGGATTTAGTGAGTTATCTTTGTTAAGGAGTAGACTTGAGGTTGGAAGGAGTTGTGCTGGAGACAAGTAGGAGAAGTCAGAGGGGGAATAAGAGGTTGCATATGATCATATTTCATTATATACATGTATGAGATTATTAAAAATTAAATTCATTGTATTATTTACTTACTGCATGCATGTATGCCTGTGCATATGTGTGTACATGTGTGCTCATATACACATGTGCCATAACACATGTATGGAAGTCAAAGAAAACTCTGAGGAGTAGGTTGTCCCCTTAACTACATGAGTGTCCAGGGACTGAACTCAGGTTGTCAGATCTGGCAGCAAGCACCTTTACTTGCTGAGTCACCTCCCTGATCCTTGTTTTGATTCTAGAAGTTGCTTTGTTTTTCTCTGTGTCTTTTAGAATCTGCTTGCCAATATTTGTTTTTTTAAAGTATGCTAGGGTTTTGATTAAGACAAAATCAAAAATTAGCTGGAGAAATGGCTCAACAGTTAAAGGTACTTGCTCCTCTCACAGAGGGCCCACTTCAGTTCCCAGCACCCAAACAATGGCTTATAACCATCCATAACTCCAGTTCCAGGGTATTCAGTACCCTCTTCTGCTCTCTGGGAACCAGGCAAATACATGATATAAATACTACATTCAGGCAAAATGCTCTTACATATAAAATAAAAATAAAAAAATTTAAAGATAACATCAAGTGGCCTGGGAACATAGGTCACTGGCAGAGCATCTGCCTAATGTGCACAGGACTCCGGTTTTCATACTCAGCACCAAAAAGAAGTAAAATCAGGGTATCATGGGGTCTAAAGCTCACCAAGGTTTCAAATACCGAATCCTGCATTCTGTCAGCCTGGCACACGGCTCTTTTCACTCTTCTTTCATGTGTGCTTGCCCCTTCACACCACACACAGCCCACAAATATTTTGATAGGATTATACCTAAGCACTTCAATTTGATACTGCTGGAAATACTATGGATTCCAATTTAAAGTCTCAATTTCTCACTGCTCGTATATGATGAGGAATAGGATAAATATGAACCTAAAGCAGAAAACTGTTACTTTATGAACAAGGATAACTTCTTGGGTTTTAGAAATGTAGAAATACGTACATTTTTAAGCTATTTCTACATTTCAGGGAAAATTAAATTATTAGAGAATGTAGAAATAACATGTATGATAATAAACATACAAAAAGTTCAATGTTTTTACATCTCAATACTATTAGAAAAGTCATCAAAGAAATAATTTGTCCTGTATGCAACTTAGAGTAATAGGCCAATTAATAACAGAATAGTTTTTAAAACTGAATAACTAAAGTAGCAAAAATGCTAAATTTTTATTTTTATAAAAGAAAACTGATATGACTTGAAAAATATAAACTATGACAAGTAATTCTTTAAAATGAATAAAATTTAAAAACCTAATACAACAATATTATACTGTTATGACTTCAAGTTACCACAAATATAAATGGATTTGTTTATCTTGGAAAACATTGTATATTGCTTTTCCCTAAAATGAAGCTAAAACCTGACCTGTTCTTCTTTCTTTTGTATATTTACTGACTTAAAAATCAGCTCAACAACTGATTTAAAAAAGGTACTCCACACATCCCCTTCCTTCCTCATCTACCTATGGAATCAAATGCACCCTCACCAAATGGAAATCTTCTCACTGAATAACAAATAAGTCTTCCCACATTATTAAAACCTAGAAATGATTATTATGAAGTAACTGTTCAGTGACTTTTTATAAGATAATTATGACTAAAAATGCTTATAGTTCAGATGATCAATGTTCAATATCTAGTATAATAGTAAAACACGAAATAACAACAAAAAGTCCTAGGACCTCAAGACGGCTCAGCCAGTAAAGGCACTCGCTCCCAGCCCTGGTGGCCTGATTCTGATCCTGACAAAATCAGGGCACACATGGTTCAAGGAGAGAATTCATGATGTGACTCCATCAAAGTTGTTCTCTGACCTCCACATGTGTCACAGCACATGTACGTGCCTGCACACACACACACACACACACACACACACTCAAAAAAATAAATAAAAGTTATAAAAATAATAATCAAAAGGCATTTTGTATGACTCTGGCCAAGCAGGAAGTTAGTTAGACTTATAGTAAACCCAGCAATTCCATCAAAGAATGTTCTTTCCTTTCCCATTACTAAGAATCACAACCTGTAAGCACCTTGGCTGGTTCAGGGAGCCTATTAGAAAGTCTTTAATAAAGAGAAAATATTAGAAACTAACACATATATGTCTTGCATGAGCCTGATGTGATTTCAAGACATCTTTTACCCGGTCATGGATCTCATCACAATTTGAAGGTGAACACCAATCAGAGTGGAATCTGTGGACACAAAGAAGAGTAACTTTTAAAGAGAGGAAAGAAACAAAACTGTCCCCAAACTTTATAAGCTTAAAATAATATAATTTCTTCCTTTGGCCAACAATGAGGAGAAATAACTTACTCAGACACTTATTCTCAGCTACCCTATCAATTTTCTACAATGTCTAAAAATAATCTTAGTAATTATTTTTATGTGTATTTGGGAGACTATACCTATACTATAACTTTAAAATGATTTTGACACATCATTCTTTAGCACTTATCTCTAAATAAATCACATCAGAACAATAATTCCATGCACAATGTCTTTAAAACATGTGGTGGTATTGTGTTCCCCAAAATATTGTACACCCTAATAAACTTATCTGGGGTCAGAGACAGAACAGCCACTATACAAAGGGTAGAAAATGGTGGCACTCACACCTTTAATCCTAGCACTCCAGAGGTAGAAATCCCTCTGGATCTCTGTGAGTTGAAGGCCACATTTGAAAGGCCAGGCATGGTGACACACGCCTTTAATCCCAGGGAGTGGTGGTAGAAAGCAGAAAGGTATATAAGGCGTGAGGACCAGAAACCAGAAGCATTTGGCTGGTTAAGCTTTCAGGCTTCTAGCAGCACAGTTCAGCTGAGAGCCATTCGGATATGAGGACACAGAGGCTTCCAGTCTGAGGAAACAAGACCAGCTGAGGATCCAGGTGAGGTGAGGTAGCTGTGGCTTGTTCTGGTTCTCTGATCTTCCAGTTCACCTCAATACCTGGCTCCAGGTTTGATTTAATTAATAAGACTTTTTAAGATTCCTGTTATAAAAATTGGCACTCTAATAATTTAATATACTCTGGAACTATGTGGAAGAAACAGGAAGCTGCAACCCACCAACTTTATGAAATAAGAAAAATATACATAAGAAATGAAAACAATACTTAGAACTTATTCATATTTCTGTTTCTACTCTTTCAGAATAGGAATAAAATGGTCCCTTCTCAACAAAGGTGATATCACTTCACTATCCACCATGAGAATCATATTTTAAAAAGAATAAAGTATTTAAATATAGATGAGAAAAGTATAACTTTAATTAGAGTCTGTGTATTGGGATTTAAAATGTCAGAGAAGAAATAAAACATCTATTTCTTTTCATTCTGCTCTTCCTTAATTCAAAATTGACATTTGTATAATTAATCTATTTTATTTTATTCAGGTTATCATGAAAATGTCCTGATACCCTTAATTAATTTGAAGTGTTATTGATAACTCCTCTAAAAGAAATAGGAAGTGTGTTAATATATTACTTTTTGTTCTCAGCTTGTACTTACAAGATTAGAATACTAAATTATTATACAAAGAACAGATTATTAAGTAGGTAAATGGTTTAAATGACATATACTTTAAAGGACATAATCAATAAACAATCAATTTAATAGATAATCCCAAACAATCCCTCACATAGATAAAAGGAAAATTAGTTTCACCTATGCAAATGAATTGGCAGAACAATTATTTTAGTACATGAAGCCCATTGTGGAAATCTGATATCCAACTGTGCAACTCCAGGGTCTCCCAACAGCACTATGAACAGATCCACTAGTCTGTGCTATGGCATAAGGAATGCTTGCCTCACAATCTTTAATATGATTTACAAAAGAAAAAACTTAAGCATGATTTAAAAGGGCACCAATTCCCTTTTAATTGGTCATGCTAATATCTAAGCCTGATTTTAGTAACACTGTAAAGTATAAAACAAATTTGGAGTCATAATATAATATTTATACTTAGAGATGCTTCTGAAATACAATCAAACTTGAAGCGATTTTATGGCATGGCAGTTTCTGGAGGTATTTTTTAAGTAGATGAAAAGAAAAAAGCACCTGGACTAAAATAAGAACTCATTGGCTTAAAGAAATAAAGTTTTTAAAATCTGTTTATAAAAAAATGATCAAGGGTTAGCATCTTACTGCAATCTTAGAGAAAACGTAATTTTAATGAACAATATATATATATATATATATATATATATATATATATATATATATATATATATATAAATTTCAGAAGCTGTGTCTCTAACATACAACTTCTAGACAAAACTTCCAATTTGGCCTGGGATAAACAATATACATTTGTATCAGTTTCATTTGTAACTGACTACAGTGGATTGTGTGAACACTTGTGAACCTATTGCTAGTTACCTAGAAACACCAAACCTGAGACTGCCATCCATTTAAAGAGGGCTACCCAGTCCTGAACAGAAGAAAACGTTTTGCTCCTTAGTAATATGAGTTGAATACTAGGTGCATGTCCTTAGATTAAATCCATCAAAATAGAGGTGTTACACGTTGGTGGGAGAAAATATAGTGCTTGTCACAGTCACAAACAATACATTAATAAAATTTTAACTCATGATGGTGAGTTCAAACTAATTCACCATGCATTTTAAATGTGCCTTATTTTCACTGAATCAAGTAAAACAGGCAATGTTGAATATTAAGAGCACTCATTGTATTTTAGCAACAAGCTTAACCACATTTATTTGTCATGAAAATAAAGTATCCTAATTCTTCTTAGGCAGACACAGGAAGATAGGTTAGACAAGGTTAGGCCAGTCTGGTCTACATAGCAATTTCCAGGTTAGTTGAAGTTACAGAGTGAAACCAGGTCTCATAAAACTTGAGAGAAGGTACAAGAGAGAGAATGTAAATAGTTTTATTTACTCTTAAGATATTTCTTCCACTTAAATATAATTGGACAGCTAATTTTAGCTATATTCAATTAAGAATTTATAGACAGTTTACATTGTATATACAGATAAAATAACTTAGGTCCGTGTGTGTGTGTGTGTGTGTGTGTGTGTGTGTGTGTGTGTGCGCGTGCACGCCGCAGAACACACACAACACATGAGAGCTCTCCTATATCACAATACCATTCCCCTTAGGCATTCTAATGAACTAGAAGTGGCATCAATCAAAATTGGTTAAAATGTAGGGAACCAGTGAGGCAAGGCACCTGGCTCCAATTGGTCTACAACACAACCCCTACACTTAAGCTCAGGGAGTATGTCAGAAGAGGGAGCGGGAAGATCTTAAGTGCCAGAGCACCAGGATGCCTATTTTGCAAGGGAGGGTCTTCTAGACATGAAAGGGATGATGCGCACATGAAATCTCAGAAATAGGGTTGCATGAACAAGACCTGTATAATGACAGTACTGGGAAATATGCCAACATAAATGGGGGAAATTTTCCAAGGCTCCAATTCTAGATGAAGAGTTACAGGAAATCAGTGGCCACTAAGGGGAGGGAGAATCAGATTTCTCCAGGGAAGAGGCCCCTCTAGGTTACATAACCTCAAGTCCTAAATACATGTACATATGAACAACACTAAACACACTAGTATGTATGCACACATATGTGTGTGTAACAATAATGATTATAGAGGAAGAAGTCATAAATTTAAGAGGGAGCAGGGGAGATGTGGAGGAGCCTTCAGGAGGGAGGAGGAGGGAATGATGTAAATGTAGCATGCATGCATGAAATTCTCAAAAAACAAATTAAATTAAAAATATTCTGTATTTCAGTATTAAGAAGCCAACACCACACACATACTCACATTCTCTACTTTCCCTTCTCCCTCTGCCCTCTCCCCACCCCCTCCAGGACAAATGCTTACAAAGTTAATGAGGAAACTGATAAACCTATCTATTTAGAACAGAATGTTTTAATGTAGCAACCATAATCTTGTTTAAGATAGCTGTTTTCAGCCTGACTATTGATATAGTATCTACAGCTAATTAAAATCATTGTAATTATGTCTGGTGAATGAACTAAATATGTTTTAAGAATTCAGGGGCTACTTTTTTATGCCGTCTGTAACCATGGAATGTGACAGTCAAGGTGTTAAAAGTATATCTCCCAAGTTTCAATTTTTCTGTAAAAGTTTTTAAATAACCTAATTTTTGAATGGGAAAAGAATAGCTTTATATAAAAATAGTGAGTTTTTTTTTCCATGCCCATTTATAACAACTATTCTGACTTGGGATGTAAGTATTTCTAGAGGAAGAGCTTGACTCTTCCCATGATTTAGATTCTACTGGGTTGCTGGCAGGAGGTAAATGAGAAGCCAGATGCCACAAAACAAGGCATGCTTCACTATTGAGGAAAATCAGAAAATTCAGCCTAGGCTATTTCTATACTTAGGGCAAATCAATAATAATAAATCACTATGGGTCTACTGAAACAACCTATCACAATTCAGATTTTCATTTTAAGAATTACATTAACTAATTAGGAGTAGAGCCCAGATCTGGCTAACAAACTCACTTCAAGTGAACTGTGCTAGGGAGAAATAGAAACACAATATATAATCTATTCCAAACAATTTAAGTAAGCCTGAAAATCACCATTTAATTTTATAAATAATTACATCATATGAATATGCTGTTTTCTGTTTCTATTGCCAAATATTCAAAAGATGAAAAGTACAGACCAGGCTGGCCTTGAACAAATAATCTTTCTGCTCAAAAAGAAAAGATGAGGAAAAACAGAAACTACACTTACCTTTCCCTGAGAGAGGCTCTATTTAGCACAGGGCTTGGACAATGCTTTGGTGTTGTTGAGGGTGCTGAATGAACTAGTAAGGTCCTTGCAGAATGCTGGGGCTTACTACATGTCCTTGGGCTCAGATATTCCTCACATCTTTCAAAGGGATCCTCAAAGTCTCTCCCATGTGGTGTCCTGATAACCTGTTTTCAAAAAATATATGTTTATCTATCTATACATACATACATACTATATAAAATAGGTACAATATATTTATGATTTTTAATTATTTCTTTTATTTTTGGAAATTGTAATTATATATTTCCACCTCTTTCCTCTCACCGAATGTTTCTATATACCTCTCGCCTTGCTCTCTTTCAAATTTATGGTCTCATTTTCATTAATTGTTGTTCCATATATATTCCTAAATAAATAAAAACACCAGTCAGCCTATTGACTACTGGTATGGATAATTAATTGGTATGCTCTTCACTTAATAAGACTATTTCTCCTACTCTGAGCATTATTTAGTTGCCTGTAGTTCTTTGTGTATGGATGAGGCCTCCTGGACTTTCCCCCATCCACTTAAGCATATCTATTGTGTTTGTTCAGATCATGTCTAGGTAGTTACAACATGATACAATTTTATTATCTCAAAACATTTTTGAGTAGCGGTGGGATAAGTATCTAGACTGGTATATATAAAATAAAGATTGTATATGAATAAACCATTTATTGCTTAGTTTAGCTATGAGGGTCAAGCAAGTACAATTCAAATTCTCCCTATAGCCTTCACTCATTGCTTCTGGGAATGGCCAGATACATAAATCAAGACAGACAAATTAATAAATGTGTACAATTGTGGAAGTTGTACTTGAGTAGAATTCTATTAAGGATAAATAGCTTTAAGACAAACACAGAACAAGATAAATAAATAAAATATGAAGCATTCCAAGGAGTATTAAGTTCAAGGAGAGGAAGTGAAACAAAGAAGGAGATCAGAAATGATGGTGGGTGAAATGGGAGCAGATGCAAAGGAATCCTTTTGAAAAGAACAGTCAGCAGGGACCTCACAGTAAGGAGAACATAGTAATAAAAACCTGAAGACACAATGATCATGTTAGGGAATCAGTCTGTGTCCATTAACAGATGGGTGGATGAATAAAGAAGATGCGGTGCATATACACAATAAAGTTTTATTCAGACATAAAGAGACAAAATTACAATAGTTGAAGAAAAGTGGATGCAATTGGAGTTTGTCATGTTGAGTTCAATAGATCTAACAATGTGTAACATATTAAGGTTAAAACATATAACTTAGTGAAATAAGAGAACCTAGAATACCTGCATCCATATGGCTTAACTACGTGAAGAACTAAGGTCCACTTTCATTCCACATTACCTTCTCCTAACTTTCTCAAGGAACTTTTAGCCAGGAAAACAAGGCTGTAAACCAGTGAATAGCTTCGTTATTTATCTCAAGACCTTCCCATAATGATCTACCTGAACAGCAGAAGGCTCAATCATCAATTGGGTACTCTTCTCAAAATAATACTGATTCTTCTCTTTGTCTAGACAAGCAATGACCTTCTCAAAATGGATGATCCTTTCCTTCACTACTCACCTATTACTACAGTAAGCTTAGCTTGTGTTTATTAACCCTAAAATTTTATATATAAGCTTTATCAATTAGATTCTCCACTGAAAGCTCTCCATTAAGATGTTCATGACTACAAACCCTATAAATATCAACTCTTAACCTTTTGCTTTCAGAGACAATACTGTCAAGGTGGTACCCTCCCTTTCTGCAGTATGTCCTAAAAAGCTTCCCTGGCGATCATCAGAGCATACAGCTATTGAGGGAAACATCGGATGAATTAGCAGTTGACAACCCAATGCCCACTAAAGTCTATAGATCTTAGACTCTAAGATCCAAGGGTCTTAGACTCACATAGAAGCCTGATTGCAGAAATAGCTCCTCCCTCTAATATCCTCTAAATCTTTCAGCCTCCATTCTCAGAGGTCTCTCTAGCTGCCATGGTGAAATAACTCCTGCAATGAGTTTGTTAAACTAAGTCCAAAGCTAAGTTCACAGTCTTCTAGGATTGCAGAACCCTTTTAGTAATATTTTCATGTGTTGATTAGACTTGAAGGTTGGCAGTGCATTGATAATGGTTCTACAATGTATCTCTCTGGTATTTTATGAGTCTATAGGAGAAGGTTTCACGTACATGAACACGTGTAAATTACTAAACTCATCTTTGAGCAAGGCCCAGAGAGAGAACGTTGGCTGTGCTAACTGCCATAGCAATGAGTTACTGTTACTTCTCAGATTGTTGTTTCTTGGCTTGTGTTTTGGATTTGGTTGTTGTTTGCCTGCTTTCTTTCTTCACAGGCAAACTGCCTCCTGGAGAGCTCACCTCTGACCTGTTAGCATCACAGATTCAAGTCCTAAATTTGAAACAACCAATAATCTGGATCAATCCTCAGTATAATCAACCAATACTGACAGACTTTCATGAGTTTGTATCAGGTTGCTAGATGCTCCTTCGAAGCCAAATTTAAACATTTCATATGTAATAAGGCTTTTACATAGGCTAGTTACAGAACATTAATAATCTTCAATTGTCTGCTCATTTTTAAATGACAGTTTACCAATGACACATTAGAACCAGAGAGCTCAAGGTCATCAAGATACTTTTCCAGTTCTCCTTGATCATGTCAGACCCTTTAGCTTTTAGCTGCTATAAACTGATTCTCACATGCTGTGCAAAAGTGCATGTGATAAAAGTTTAATCCTCAGAAACAATCAGGAGGTGGTAAAACCATTAAGGGTGGGGCCTACTGGGAGGTCTTTAGGAGATGGTAGAATCCAGTGTGCCTCTCTCCCCATAACTCCCCTTAACTCAAATTCCATGGGATCTGATGCTCTTCTGACTTTCACGAACATAAAGCATGCAAATGGTGCACACGTAGGTGAAACACTCATCTGATAAAATAAAATCTTAAAAAAGTTTAAACTAATAGAAAGTTGATGAGCAGAATGATAAAGCATTATGTCTATCATCCCTGATATTTTATTATAGCCTAAATACACATGAATTCTGTGAATATCCACATTACTGTGAAATACCAACAAGAGTGGAGATGATTTCTAGATTTGTTACATTTTTCTTTTTAGCGTGATAGATTCAGTCATAAAATCCTTGTCCAAGGGGAGAGAAAAGTTCATAAGTAGAATGAGACAGAAGCCACTTGACATCTGCCACAACTTGTGTTCATGTCTAGAATGCAATGGAAGCCACAAGATATCCACCACAACTCGTGTTCATGTCTAGAATGCAACAGAAGCCACTAGAGACATCTGTCACAACTCATCTTGTCCTCCTGCAGAGTAGGTTGCTGTGAGATGGTCTGTATGTGCTCTGATTGGTCAATAAATAAAACACTGATTGGCCAGTGGCCAGGCAGGAAGTATAGGCAGGACTAACAGAGAGGAGAATTGAGAGAACAGGAAGGAGTGGGGAAGACACTGCCAGCCGCCGCCATGACAAGCAGCATGTGAAGATGCCGGTAAGCCACGAGCCACGTGGTGAGGTATAGATTTATAGAAATGGATTAATTTAAGATATAAGAACAGTTAGCAAGAAACCTGCCACGGCCATACAGTTTGTAAGCAATGTAAGTCTCTGTGTTTACTTGGTTTGGTCTGAGCGGCTGTGGGACTGGCAGGTGACAGAGATTTGTCCTGACTATGGGCCAGGCAGGAAAACTCTAGCTACAGTAGGTATATTGCTAAGAAGCAATCTTTGCATCAGGAGAGGAACTGTGACAAGTTCTTGACAACAAAACATAGACAAGTGTCCATTTCAAGACCAGGCTCTCAGAAACCAGAGCCTTCTCTGTGCCTACAAAGGGGCCTGTGAGACCCCAGACTAAATGAGAGCCAAAATAGGTTATTGCATAGAACAAATAGAAGTTCAGAAGCACCTTCTATTTGTTAAATGATTAAAAATTAAATCTCTATTATATTTAGCTTCTGAAGTTAAAGCATTATTTGTATAACAAATAGCATTACCCTAAGCAATTCAAAAGTTGATATTTTAATATACTGGCCTTAACATAAAGCTAAATATTCATTTATGTATTCCTTGGGAGTAGTTAGCAAGGGAACAGATATTTGGGGATAGAAAAGTTAAGATTCATATAAAACAGCAGCAAAAATTAAAACTCTTGCCTGTGATAGCTTGGAAAATAGATCACATAACTTCCAAGCTTATGTCCCTAAGGAAATAGCTGGGAAGAAATATGAGTTGCACTGGCTTTTATCTGCATTTAGCAAAGACTTGTAAGAAGTAATGAGCTCATACATAATCAATTTGTATCCATCAACAGAAAACTGAGATGTGATAAATATAATGGAATATTATGTGACCTTAAAAAGTAAGGGAATCCTATTATTTGAAACAAAATGCATGATTCTAGAAGTCATTAAGCTAAATAAGCCAGACACAGAAAGACAAAGGACTCTAACCTCACTTATCTATAGGATCTGAAAAATCAAACTCATAGAAGGAGTGTATGGAGTAGAGGCTGTCAAAGGTGATGGTGGGGAAGCCTTCAGTCAAAAGGGATGGAGTTTCAAGTGGAGAAGACAGGAAATGCAGAGGTCTGTTGCACAGCACAGTGACTATAGGTAACTGTATGTACTTAATAAGTGAAACATGCTAAGATATTAAATGTTCTCATCAAGCAGGTAGGTGAGATAATAGATGTTAAGTAGATCTAAACATGTGTGTATATGAATATACATATATGCTGTAATATAAATGTACATATGTAAATATCAAGTTCCATACTGAAAATATATACATTTTATCATTTTATCATTTATATCTTATAAACTGAGGAGTGGTGAGAAGAAAGTGGTGTCCTCAGGAAAGATCTGTTTTGAGAACAGAAATTAAAAGATAGAGTCAGAAAAAGTAAAAAACCTAATAGGTATAAGATTAAAATGGAAAAATACTTGGAGCATTAAAACAGAAAGGTCAGGTTAAGGGGTTGCTCCACAGGAAGAGGCTTTTTGGACCAAATACTGTTAGCACCAGCACTAAGAACAATTAATAAGTGGGACCTCATGAAACTGGAAGGTCTCTCTATGGCAAAGGACACTGCCATTCAGGAAAAGTGGCTATAGAACGGTAAAAGATTTTTACCAACTACACATCTGATAAAGGGCTAATATAAAAAATATATAAAGAACTAAAAAAACCACTGGACATCAAGAAAACAACCTGATTAAAAATGGAGAAGAGATCTAAACAGAGAATTCTCAAAAGAGGAACCACAAATGGCTAAAAAGCTTTAAAAATGTTCAACATCCTTAGTCAGGAAAATGCAACTCAAAACTACTTTGAGATTTCATCTTACACTAGCCAGAATGGCTAAGATCAATAAAACAAATGACAGCTCATGCTGGAGAGGATGTGCAGTAAAGAGAATACTAGTCCATTGTTGGTAGAAGTGCGAACTTGTACAGCCACTGTGGAAATCAGTGTGATAGTTCCTCAAGAAGATGGAAATAAATCTACCTCAAGATCCAGTTATACCTCTCTTGGGCATATACCCAAAGGACACTACATCCTACTACAGACACACTTGCTCAGCCATATTCATTACTGCTTTAAAATACTCAGAAATTGTAAACAACCTAGGTGCCTGTCAATGAACGAATGATAAAGAAAATATGGTACATATGCATAATAGAATATTACCCAACCATTAAAAAATACAAAATCATGAAATTTGGAGGTAATTGGGTGGGACTAGAAACAAAATCATCCTGGATGTAATGCAGACCAAGAAAGACCAATATGGTCTGCAAATATGGTACATAGAAAGACAAAAATTCACTTGTATGTAGATGTTAGCTTGTAAGTCATTGATAAGAAAGTTATAATCTATATAACCATCAAGGATATGTATAGAGTAAAGGAAGGGGGTGGGAGAAGAATGGCTCTTCCTAAGAGAGGAAAATAGAAGACATCAGTGGTTCTCAACTTTCCTCATGCTGTAACCCTTTAATACAGTTCCTCATGTTGTGGTGACCCTCAACCATAAAATTATTTCATTGCTACTTCATAACTATAATTTGTTATTATTATGAATCAGAATGTAAATATCTGATATGCAGGATATGTGACCCCCAAAGGGGTTGTGACCTACAGGTTGGAAACTGCTGGAATACATAGTTATGTATGGCCAGGCATTGGGGACTGAAATTGGAGGATTAAATAGGGAGAAGAAAGGAAGAGAGGCATGAGGGAGGGAATATGGCCAGAGACAGCTAAAACTAAGGTCCATTTGAGGGGTCATATGGAAATCTAATATAGTAGAAGTAAACTATATATGTACATGAAGGTGATCTGAATGAAATGGGGGAGACAGCCCAAACTGGATATCTCTCATAACCAAATGAAGCATCCAGTACTAGGAATGAGTTACATTTGATCAAGTTCTTGGCCAAATGGGATCTATTGGAACCCTCAAACAACTCAAGCTATTGCCAAGGCTATTGGTTGTTCTCCACAAACTGACAGTAAGGCCATATTCCTGAAAATAATACATTCACAACTCACTGAACACAGAAGTTGAGTTGTTGTCTACGTAGAGACTTCATCCCTATGGACTAGAGTTCATTGTACTAGAAGGTACTCATCATGCTATCAGAGGAGAAAGGCAAACACCAACTCAGCCACAAACCCTTCAATCTACAATGGTGACCTGCCTGCAAGATAAGTTGGTGTAACAATGACACAAAGCTTTTGGGAATAACCAGACAATATCTGATGTGACTTAAGGTCCACTCTATGGGAGAGATCTCATACCCAGTGCTGTTTAGATGACCAAGTATCTGAGACCAGATAGACCAGTCATTAAGGGAAAACCAAATACTACTGTTTTGCCAAAGGAACATAGCAATAAAATGACTGCTAGTGACATTGTTATACTCATATGTTTTGCTCAACTATCATCAGAAGAGCTTCCTCCTGCAGTAGATGGGAACAAATACAAAGACTCACAGTCAGATATTATGTAGAGTGACAGACATTGGAACACTCAACCCTAAACAGAATATCTCCATCAAATCCCTTCCCTTGGGGCTCAGGGAATTCTGCAGAAGAGAATGAGAAAGAGTTTAAGAGCAAGAGGTGATAAAGGACACCAAGGAATCAATGTCTTTAGACACTGCAGAGCTGGTGTACATATGAAGTCACAGAGACTGAGGCAACATACACAAGGCCTGCCTGGGACTACACGAGATGGGATTCTAGAATGAAGAGAAGTGGACACATGCCCCCATTCCTAACCCTGAAGCTATCTCCAATTGAAGCACTTACAAATGAAAGATTAGTTTTCTTCAAGGGAGTCTCACTGGGAAACAAACCACTCTTAAGGATACACCCCAGGCCCAGCAGTAGATGGCCAACACAAAACAAACTCGTATTATCTTTGGAGGTTCTTTTTCTTATACTGTTGAGTTAAGGCATTTTTCTTTCTCTTTATTTTTTTAAAAAAAATGGGATGCTTCTCAATTTCAGTACAATAGCTTCTTATTTCCAAGCACTTCCAAAGTAACAGTAAGGAGGAGAGGCAGCATTCTTCTGAGTATGATGGTGAAAGGAGGAAGAGATGACACACAATGGAGTGTTTGTGGTGTATGTGTGTGTGTACATAAGTGTGTGTGCATGCTTATGCACCTGTGTGTGTGTGTGTGTGTGTGTGTGTGTGTGTGCTGGCACACTCACACATGCACACTCACATGCTTTGGAACTTGGCATAATCAACAAAGACAATTAAATTACAATACACTTAATACAAACTTTAGGAAAAAACAATATATTGTACTACCACTAGTTTTTAAAAAAATAAAAATCACAGTATATGGTTTTAAAGAAACAAATTATAATTATATACATGTACTCCTATGATACAATGTACCTTAAAACAATATAAAAAACTCACTGGTTCTGTGTAAATATAAAACTCTATGTTCTGATAATTACCAATCTGCTTTTTACCTGTTTAATATTCTGTGAGGGTCCTAAAAGCCATATGTGATATGAAATAAATCTTATTTCAAATCATCCTACTCTTTGCAGATCATCTTTCAGCTCAGCTCAGCATACATCAAACAACTTTCTCTATGTAATTGTAATAATATGACCATAAATACTCAAAATGTCCCTTTAAAGAAGCCATCCCCAATGAGAATCAGTATATTAAATAAGCACCTACTATACACAAAAAAAGGCACAACTGCACACAAACAGAAGGCGCACGACACTGGTTCAGGATGGTGTGAACAGTAAAACAGAAATGGGACTAAAAGAAGAATATTGATGAGAAAAGTTGATTGTTATGCATCCACAGTAAAGAGAATATAATTTGTCCAAAAGAGCAGATCAAGACTAAAAATCTAAAACTGTCAGTGAGGAGACGGAATCGGTACTGGGTATGGGGCAACCTTGGGGATAGAAAGGATGCCTCATCCTTCACGCACACCTTACATTCAAATCCATCAATAATTTCTCTTTTCTCCAATATCCAACATGTTGCTTCCCTTTTGCAGACTCACTTGTCTCTCCCTATATGTCACCTGGGGCCTCAAAAATAGTGTCCTTTTCTATAAACTCTCTGGAACACTCCACGATTTATAGTTCTTTTCTTGTTGAAATCCCCTATTTTTCTACTAAAGTATTTATCAGTCAACTACTATTTGCCCACAGAACTAATCTTTTATTCTTTCTATAGTCGATATGATAAATGCAGTTCCATGAAAATCTCCATCCTGGATACAGAAATAATCTGTGATTTTACTCACCATTCACTGTCTCCAAGAAAAGCCCTAAAAGTAATGAATCTAGAGGAGGATAGGAGATTAAAGATGCTTTGAGGTGCAGTTCTTAGTAGAACACATTAGGAAAAGAGTCTTCACATCTATCTTTAAATTAACTACAGAACTTACAGCCAGATTAGTGCCATGTAAAATTTTATCCCATTCTTTGCATTTTTGGTTGTTCTATCAATCTACTCACAATTTACATATTATATTATATATAATGCATATCATATAATAATAGCAATTATTAAGAATAATAGCAATTATTAATAAGCAAAATCAATAAAACACTTGATAGCCTAATACTTATTGGTTAATAAAGGAAGATGACTGCAAAGAAAGATGAAAATATATAATTATAAACTGTGGAGCATTATTTAAAGGAAATGAATAAAGAAAGTCTTCCTTTAGAATAACTAAGGAAGCCTCTTTATTCCATGTAGGATATTGGGCATGATGCTATCTCATCTGTGTGTGCATGTATGTATGCAAAAACATATAGGTGTGTATACCTATATATAATTTGTCATATATATGTATTAAATACACACGCATATTACACAGACAAATGCATGTGTGTACACACATATTACATATATGCATTAAATACACATATATTACACAAATCAATGTTTATGTGCACACACACAGTTGTATGTGATGTCTCCCCTTCCCCCCTCACACACACATGCAGACACACACTAGCAATTAAATTCAGCAGTTGGTCCAAATGGATAATGAAACACACAGCATACCTGTAGGAAGACATTCAGTGAAGGCATATTGCACCTCTTGGTACAGCCACCAAAACCGTGACATTCCATGCTGTGTCAATTATTGCTTGCACATTATTTTATAAAATAAATGATAATTTCCATAAGAATTTGTATATCAGGAATATACTTATGCTGTCTGAAAACCAGAGCAGTTGTCATAATATAATTGGTTTGACACACCTTATAATCCTTGGATCTGCAGCAAAAGTGAGGATGATCTGGAAAAGATTGTACAGGAAAAAGGATCAATATGCAACATCAGAAAGGTAAGGAATTGGCTTCAGCTATGATTTTTAGTATCATCAACATTTCTCAAACCCAGGTCATACAGCAGCAGATTTCCAAAACACTTTAAAATCCCTCAGCAGTGTTAACACACTAAGACAACAACCCAACCCAACAGGCTATAACATGTCAGTTCTTCAGCAGGTCAGTGATCTTACAAATGCTCTTTTCATTAGAGCAGCAAGTATTTGATTTTATAGAGACACAAGAATAATTCTTCAGTAAACCAATGAGTATTCAAAAAATGTGTGATTTCAGTCCCTAAGCCAGTTTATCGTAAAATGTTCTTTATATCTATGGTGGGGCATAGGGAAAATGCAGACTTCAGTGGTGAGCAGCTCTCACTGCATACTTCAGATTCCAACACTGACTCTATGGTACCAATCGTTTTCCTTAAACTTTAAGGTCAAGATTCCAAATTTGTCTGATGTCCTTCTTTTATAACATTGTTAAAAGTTATATATTACTGTAATTGCTAATGATTAAAGTAAAATTAAAGGCACAAAGATGACTAACTCCAATATCAAATTCTAATTCAAGCAAGCCTGGGCTCAATTTCTAATTGTGTCACTTTAGATATATTTTTCCAGTCAGGTTACATATTCCATGAAGCCCTCACTCCCAGTGTAATGGTTTTCAGGGAGGGGATAGGGTTTAGACGAGGTCATGACAGTGGGCCTCAAGACATGATCAGTGTTTTTGGAAAAGAGACACCAGGAACCTTGTTCTTATTCACTCTCTTTCTTGCTGCATCTTTTCCCTCTCTCCTCCCCTACACAGTCATGTGACTATATGGTGCCATGATAGAAGATAATCTACCTTCCCAGCATCTTGATCTTGGCTTTCTGAAGCTCCATAAATGCAGACTATGTCACTTTCATTTTCTTATTGAACCAAGAATTCCACAATAATTTTGTTCAGTAACACAGGTAGCCTAGTAGAGTATTATGACTCATTATTACTTGTACTTTACATGTTAAGAGACTGGCTTCCTATCTAATAAGCAATAAAGCTAAGGTCTTCAGTTAGTTCAATGCTTCTTCTGTAAATATAACAAGAGAAGATTTTCTTATAAACAAAATAATACAGGAGAATAAAAGTATATATAGTCTCAAAAAAGCTGACACCAAATTATGGATTTGTTAACCAAACAGATATGACAGACAATTGAAAGAATCAAATGTTAAGCAGTTACTAGCAATCAGAAACCATTTCCTTCAATGCTGGCTTTGAATTTCTGGAAAGAAAACCAGATCCATTCATTTCTAATGAATCATTGTGGGGAGATATTGCAGGGAGTGGATCTGGGTGAGAGGGGATATTCGGGGGGGACACTGGGAGAAGTTGAGGGAGGGGAAACTGCAGTTAGGGTGTATTGTGTGAGAGAAGAATGAATTAAAAGGAAAAAGAACTATTCACAGTGGGACTCCTGTAATAAATCAGCCTCAACATCTTTCTTCTTTCCATAGTTGAACCCTACCTAAGGGCTCATATGATTCATTTCCTAGGGACCAAATATGACCTCAAGCAAGGATTTAAAGAGTTTTAATGTAAAATTTAGTATTTCTGTATGAACTCATTCTTTCTTTTCATAGTAATTCTCAAGCCCCAGTCTAACCATTATAGCTAAGTTTCCTATGTGTTAAACTCTATTTTGGCAACTTCCATGATGCTCCACTACAAAGGACACTACTACCTTCCTTGTCATAATGCCATAGAAATGAACCTTGTTCTGTAAGTTGTATTACTTATTACAAAATTCCCTAATGTGCTGTATATCTGCTTGAAGATTCAAAGAGCTTATGCTCTTCCATCCTTTATCATCTCCCATCCATTGTCCCTTATCTAATGCCCACTCAATATATTAAGTCTGGCTTCTGCTCTCCTGCGAATCTTCATCAAGCAAAAGGAATTGCTTTTAAATAACTCACTCCCTACAACTACAAGCAAAGCTAGGACATCCAGGTTTAAGAAATAAAACTGGAATTCAGTATCTGACCTAGACTAGCAGTTCTTTCTTCAGTGATAGGGTCCTGAAAGAGAGGACCAGGACATAAGGAGAAAGTTAAGTTTGGGATTGGAGGTCTTGCACAAGCTGTGTCTTATTCAAAGCAGTCTATTAAGCAGTACAGCATCTTATATACTAATTACAGGGGAGAAATGGGACAGAGTCAGCATCAACTATCATACAGTGGCCTAAGTCAGAGGGAAGCTAATCAGATAATGTTGCATAAGAGGAACACAGGGAGTCGGGCAGTGGTGCGCATGCCTTTAACCCCAGCACTCAGGAGGCAGAGGCATGCGGATATCTGTGAGCTTGAGGCCAGCTCGGTCCACAGAGTGAGTTCCAGGACAGGTTCCAATGCTACACAGAAAAACCCTGTCTCTAAAGAACAAAACAAAACAAACACAGCAACAACAAAAAGAATCCAAGAGGTATTTCCAGAACATTACAGACCAAGCAGACTGCGTACTTTGAGCTGATAATCACAGCCCCTGTGGTAAGAAGAGTTGGGTTCTTAGAATCAAAAGCAGAGCTCCCTGAAGCCCCTGGCCCCAGGATATTACTGAGTCTGCCAAGCATATTCCTGGTATTGAGAAGGAGTTGTGTTCCTTTTCCATACATCAAGACCTCAGGGAAAGTCTCAGCTCATCAGTCCAACTCTCAACATCTCTCCAGGGTTGCAACATGCTAAAAGGGAAAGGCACAGAGCAGCATTTCACATCTCTTACTCCTCTGTGCTTTATTCATCTGAAACTGCTTCTTCTGACCTCCAACACAGAAACCCTTCAGTATCCAGCAGAGAGTGGCTCCAGTACCACCACCACTACCACCAAACTTCATGAATTCTTGAATTTCTTACATAAAGTGGCATGATATTTGCACAGAACCTATGTACACCCTCTTGAACACTTTCCACAGCCTCAAGATTAGCTCCAATATAAATGCAATGTAGATGCTATGTAAATGGCTCCTATATTGTTTCAGAAATAATGACAATAAAGAAAGGCCTGTATATATTTAGCCCAGTCACTTTTTTATCTGTCAAATACTTTGGATCTGTGGTTTGTTAAACTGTGAATGCAGAGCCTGTATATACAGAAAGCCAACTATATATTTTTATCATTTTTATTTTTAGGACTGGACTATACACCCAACAGCAAGTGTTGTTAAGGATGTTGTGAAACTAGAAATGTCATATACTAATGGTAAGATTATAAAACAGTGTAGCCACTTTGGAAAATAATGTAAATTTCAAAACTTTGGTAAGTTCAGCATATGAATCAGGAATTCTATTCCTATCTATCCAAGAGGAGTGGAAGCATTGGTCTACATGAAAGGTTCAAGGCACATCCTCACAGTGGCCTTACTAGTAATAACCAAAATGTGTGGACACTGTAGGAGCTGAAAATGTGAGTGTGGGGAGCTGTAAAAGAGGGTAAGGAAGCTTTGGGTACAACGGGAATTCTCTATAAATGGATTATAGTGGCAATTTCATATATATATATGAAAATGTATTAAAATATCTGTTCACTAAAACATAAATTTTATGGTATACAAAATATAGCCAGATAATGTAAAGATGTTAAATTATGAAAGAAAAAAAAACGAGTAAAGACTTCTAGAAATGGCTGTTGAGTTGCTATAGCTCTACGAGAAAGCAAAAGAGGAATGTAGTTAAGTGAAAGCTAAAACATTTAAAATAAGGCACTTTGCTAATAAGTAAGTACGTGATGCCTGCATGCTATTTGAATGAGAAATGTTACCATGTGTTGCTGCTAACTTGATGTGGAATTTTAGGATTCATAATACCATTTTTAATCTATTTGACTTAAACACAATAGACATCAAGTAAACTTCAAAGTGAGTAAAAGGTTACAATCTTGTATAGAACTGGCTTTCATCAAAGAGGCTTCCAAGTTATCAGTCTCACCCAGCTATGAACTCTGGGATCTATAATAATGATCTGCCTGACAAGAATTTCTCCTTGGTGTAACAGTGGCATGAATGTTGTATGAGTAACCAACCACTTTTTAATTGAAATTTAGGCCTGGTCCATGATATGGAACCCAAACTTGGCAGTGTCAGTGAGACCAAGAACCTGTGGCTAGACAGTTTTATAGGATGATTTTTTAAGCCAACGGTGACACAGTTCATCCTCACAATAATCATATAAAGATGGGCTTAACTTAATTTTAAGAAAAATGACAGAGGCTCCAAAAAGATAAATGGATTATATGCAGACAGAAGATGATGTCTGCATCTCTCTACTTGAGCCACCATAACAAAGTACAGGCTAAAAGGCTCAAACAATAGGAATTTGTTTCTTATAGTTCAGGAGGCTAGACCAAGTTCTGGTGACATCGTTCTTTCTGGATTGCAGGTGCTGCCTTCTAGCTGAGTCCTAATATGACAGTGAGAAAGACACTGGTCTTTTCCTTTCTTACAAGGCACTAATCATATCACAGGACCCAACTCTAACAATCTCTTCTAAACCTAACTGCCAATAGCCCCACTGCTAACTGCCATCAGTGGGGTTTGGACTTCAACATACAAATTGTATATTATTTTTTGGTTGGTTTTTTTGTCTGTTTTTATTTTTTGAGGCATGGTTTCATGTAGTCAAAGATGACCTCAAATTTGCTATGTAGAATGATTGGTCTTAGATCCCTGATCCTCCTACAACTACCTCTCAAGTGCTGGGAATACAAACATGCACCACTCAAGATGCAAATTTTTAGGGCTACAGTTCAGTCAATATTAATGTTCTTGCTGAGACAATTTATGTAAGGCACATTTGGGGATGGGAAGAAAAGTAGAGGAGAAAGAAAAATATAGGAGAGAATGAAAGCAAATGTTATCTATGGGTGCTGAGCAAGAAGGATATAGGAACTCTTTGTACTGTTTCTACTTTTGCATGAAAAGACACAAAAATAATATTGTTGTAACTCATGTTGATATCCTCAATGTACTTTTATAGAGACAGCTAATGTCTTCATCTGGGACATCAGGAACAATAACCATCTTGCTGACAAATGTCCAGTCAAGCACATAGCACTACAAATGAATCTTCCCCAACACACCTCTACGTGGAAGTTACTTCCCCTTCCCTCATTCATACAGCCCATTTTCTATGTCATGTTTCTGCCAAGAGGGAAAACAGGGTACATTTGTATTTAATTTTCACATGATCCACAATTCCCTCTATAAAAGATATATTGATAAAGAATGCCTATTATGATAGAAATACTTTATAAAAATTCAAGCTGGGCATGATAGTACACACCTTTAATCCTAGCATTTGGAAAGCAGATGCAGGAGGAACTCTGTGAGTTTGAGGCTAGCCTGGTCTACAGAGTGAGTTCCAGAACAGCAGAGATATTTAAAAAGACCCTGTCTAAAAAAACAAAACAAACAGAAGGAAGGAGGGAAGGAGGGAGGGAAAGGAAGGGGAGAAACAAAAAGAAAGATGTTGTAGAATATTATTTTAAGATGTGTTACAGGCCAGGTGGTGGTGGCGCAAGCCTTTAATCCCGGCACTCGGGAGGCAGAGGCAGGCGGATCTTTGTGAGTTCAAGGCCAGCCTGGTCTACAGAGTAAGTTCCAGGAAAAGCACAAAGTTACACAGAGAAACCCTGTCTCGAAAAACCAAAAAAAAAAAAAAAAATGTGTTTATGCTCTGGAATATTTGCTTAATGATGCAAAGATGTGTTGCATTCTTTTATGTTGCATTTGTTTAACTCTGTAAAGCTGTGTTACGGTGCCTATCTAAAACAACTGATTGGTCTAATAAAGAGCTGAATGGCCAATAACAAGACAGGAGAAAGGATAAGGGGGCTGGCAGGCGAAGAGAATAAATAGAAGGAGAAATCTGGGAGAAGGAGAAGAAGAAAGAGCAAGAAAACAAGAAGAGGATGCTAGGGGCCAGCCAGTCAGCCACACAGCCAGCCACGGAGTAAGAGTGAAAGTAAGATATGCCAAAGTAAGAAAAGGAAAAAGTTCAGAGGCAAAAGGGATGGGATAATTTAAACTTAAGGAAAGCTGGCAAAAAACAAGCCAAGCTAAGGCTTGGCATTTATAATTAAGAATAAGCCTCCATGCATATATATTCAGGAGCTGGGTGGCAGGCCCCCTAAAAGAGCCAAAAGAGCAAAGAGTAAAAACCAACAGCAGAAAGATACAAATTCAAGAAACTATGAGTATACTTAGACAGTGTTCCATCAAATGTTCTGACTATAAACATTCAAGTTTAACCAAAGTCCATATTTCTTATCAGTCCTTAAACAAAAACAAAACATGTTCTCTAAAAATAGTATTTTATTTCCTCAATTAAAAAGAAAGTATACAGTATAGCCAGAATTGGAATGTAACCGAGCTCACTGCATGTTACAATTCCATTTTTCTTCCTCTTATATCAGTTTTCATCTACTATGACTTTCTCAGTGTGTAGGAAATTAATGTTAAAGGTTGCCAGTGAATACTTGCTGAGCTACTAGCCACTGTCTACTGATATTAATATTCAAATATTCTTCAATATACAATGTCATCTAAGCGTCTTCAAAAAAACAACAACCAAAAAAAAAAAAACTTCACATTGAACTTAAATTTATTTCACCAAAGAGACTAGGGCTAACAATTAAAACATTTTCTTATAAATTAAATCTAAAGAATTCATCATTTCAGAAATATTGTTTTTGCTGGTATTTGCTAAGTGTGCATGCTCACACACTTTTCATGGTAACATTTCCCATGTTATTCCTAATCTTTAATGATAAACTCATTATTAAAGAGGTTAAAAACACTATATGTATATAAATAAGTGGTAGGGTTAAGTATTCAATCATATATATATATAAATCTTCCAAACCCATAACACTGAGTTATTTCACTATAGTGTTTCTCAAAATCTATTCTATAAATTAACATGTTAAAATGAGAAATGTGTTTCATAGTCAAATAAATGTAGAAAATGTTGAGTAGTACACAAGTTATATTTACTAAAATGTAGTATAGTATTTAATATGTGAAAATGTATTTAATATTCATTTTAATCTATAAGAATAATATGTTTTTAAAAGCACAGAAATCCAATTCTTTCTAGTTGTAAAAAGCTTTATCATAACATCTAATAATGCAGCAAAAAATGTGTTTTCATTAATCAGTGCCAAGGTAAGGCTTGACATTAGCTCAAGCAACTAGAGTGGGAAAAGGAAAGCTTCCCCTTACCACTGTGCATCCGGGCCCATCCATCTCGTTCACAGTCTCTGCCAGGTGATCCAAAAAAAGTATCAGCCCTGGGACTTGGGGGATCAACCTAGAAGAAAGGGGATTTGCGATGTGAAAGAGCACTTCAACCTTCCATTCCCATTCTCAATTTTACAGCATTGCTAAGCAACTAGAGAGCATATGCCACACAGCAGGTGAATTCCACAGTGCTTCTGTGTTCCAAAGTCAGAGTTTAATCACTTATTTACTATGCACTTTTCAACAGAGCTAAAATTAAATGCCACCAAAAAGAGAACAGATTTGCAGTTAAATACTTACTACCCTGTTTCCAAGTTTGGTTTTGACTACAAAGTGTCAAAAATAAAAATAAAAACATCCTAAAGCAACCTACTTTGTCTTATTTAGAAAAAGTCTGCCAAATCTATCTTAGCACACACATGGAATTCAAGCAGTATCGTAGCTTTCCTGAGTACTTTATAGTGGACAAATAAGAAAGGTCAACCATATTTTCTAAATAAAAATAAAAATGTCACAGTGATGTAAGTATATCAAAAGATGGGTCTACTGACCAAAACTAAACCTTCTGTGAATCAAAGAACAATAAAAAGAGCGAAAAGTTAATTTGGGCTAACAAAAATGAAGATCATGTATCTCATAAGAGATTATTACCTAGATCATATGAAGAATTCCTACAAGCCAACAATAGCAATAAAGAAAAGATATAAAATGAGCAAAAGACTTGAGTAGACATTTTAAGGATAATCACCAATACATGAGGAGATGCTTAACATCATCAGTCATCGGAGAAAAGCTAATCAAACCACAATGAGATGCCACTCACACTCACAAGAGGACTATAGAGAAAATTAAGCAGACCTGTACCCAAGAGGCCCTGGCTTTAACCCTCACTACCACAAAGAGAGAGGGGAGTGCTTAGGTGCTTGTGAAAATGTAGGGAAACTGCAACCCTCTTGCATAGCTGACAGGAGTGCAAATTATGCAGCCACTCTGAGGAACACTTTGGCAAGTTTTTGTGTTAAACATACAATTGCCACATGATAAAGCAGGTCTACTCCTAGGTCTTTACCCAAAAGCATTGAAAACAAATGTTTATTCAAACACTTGTACACATGCTGCTCATTAAAGCATTGTTTATAGTAGTCAAGAGTGTAAGCAACACAAACATCTATCAACAGACATGATATATAAACAAAAAGAGACAGATAGCCATACTATGTAATATTACTCAGTAATAAAATTCAGGCGCAAACACATGCAACATCAGTGAGTTGTGCTAAGATAAGTTGTTTGACTCTATTTACATGAAAAGGCAGAACAGGCAACCTCAGAGAGACAAAAAGATTAGGAATTTCAGTGGGACAGGTTTTATTAACTGTTTTCTGAAAGCCACTTATTAGGATTGTCTTTCAGACCAGGTACTGCTCCTTTCTTAAGGTTTTTGCATGTGTGCATTAGACTAAACTTCTTTTGCTACAAGTTTACCAAGTACTTCTGAAACCATGAATGGTTGTTTGCCCCTAAATCCCCTCTAAATCCAATGCCTACTCAATAATATAGACATTTTTTACATGTACTTTGAAGTATGTACTTCTATTCATTGAAAGGCTGAGAGGGAAACCTCTTAAATAAAAATTATGGTTTTTGTTTTTGTTTGTTGTTGTTGTTGTTGTTGTTGTTGTTGTTGTTTTGACAAAGGGTCTTACTATATATCCTTGGCTGTCTTGGAGCTAGCTTTATACTCACAGAGATCCACTTTCCTCTGTCTCTCCAGTACTGGGACTGGTGTGTACCACCTCACTCAGCCCTTGATATCTCAACAGCATGGTTATATAACCAAGATCTGGATAATCACAACACTAGTTAACATGGCAACATGGATGGCAAAAATTTCACAAGGTTCTGATCATGCTTTTAGATGAAGAGCTACAGACAACTTATGACTGTTATATAGAAGCATTTTAAGTAAGAAGCAACTGATTTTTCCTTTAAATTAGAAGACAATATATACTTTCTTTTTCCATTTAATTTGTAATTATGGATGGTATTAAAGGCATTCTCAAATTTCTATTAGCAATATAAGCAAACTGTTCTCTGAACAATGTTCAACAGGACCAAACTTGTGATCAAATTAGATAAACAAGAATATCATTAATAAAAGTTACCATATGGAAGTATCTATTACACTATAATTTTATAAATAAAAAATTTATAGTTAGTAGTTTTTAATTTAAAAATCACTAATTTAGTTTGAAAGAATAAAAGATTAATTTACAAGCAAAACATAAAAATGGCATGAAATGTTGCATAACTTAATTGTTTTTAAAGGATGTCAGAGAGAAAACTCAGAACTTTCGGAGTATGTGGTTATATCCAAAAAAATTATTTGACTTCCAAAGGAGTGTATTCCAAATAATAGTTCTAAAATAGATGAGTGCTTTAGAATTTAGAAAAAGTAAACATTTGCTTCTACAAGCATTGAAACATAGAAATTTATTATTAGTATATATGCAAATACAAAGTGTTTCTGCTAATAAGGAATATTTTGGCAGAGTGGCTTTCAAGGTACAGGTACTTTATAAAACTTCAAGAAACTGAGGCAGGTCATGATGGAGTGTTCTGACTGCAGGCACTCCAGTTTAACCAAAGTCAATCTGTCATGGACACAAAGCTCTAACTTCCATCATAACATGAGGCTGTGCATAGAAAGATTAGAGCTATGCTAACCTTAGTGCAAAGGCCCTCCTATGCATGCCTATCAAATAAGGGCTGGCTTCAAAGACTCAGGATCTAACACTTTCCCAAAGGACTCCTTCTCAAAGGACATCTACTTCCACTATCATTTTTCAAAAGTCTGGAATGGGTTCCTTTTTATAGGAAACTTTGTTTTCTCTTTTAAAATCCTACTTTGGCATTCTAATATCAATGTCAATTACAGCCAAGTTCAATTGTAGAGTTATAGCACTGCCCACTGTGTAAGGTGAGAGGGAATGGGTACTTTGAAGTTTCGATATGGCATCATAATGGAGTTTGATCTCTGTCAGTATTAAAGGCATAAAGGCGGAACAAAAAGCATGTTCTTTGGTTTTAAGTTAATTTTCTACTTTTAGCTGCTGGCTAAGAGTTCAAGAAAGAAAACTATTCATATGAGCTGCTTATTGAAATCCATTTCAGCATAATATTTTAGTGCCAGAACAGACTTGACAAGTTTCAAATGGAAATTCTTATGAGCACATACATGTCTAATCACAAAAGGAGGCTTATCTGTTTCCTTTTTAAATTCATAGGGTCCCAGATTTAAATGGGCCAGCCGCCGCCTGGTGTCTTCGGAGAGCTCACACATCCGTCTCTTTGTGTAGGGAGAAGGAGAGTGAGACTTTGAAGATATCGTAGGCTGTTCGTAGTTCTTGGTGTTTATGCAGTATTTATTCCTCTCAGGTGACTTGGACTTTTTCTTCTGTGATCTTGATGATCTGCATTGCGGTCTGCCGTGAGATTTTTCAACTGGAGCTGAATGGTAAGTAAATTTATCCTAAACATAAATAAAAATAAATGTTCATGTGGGCAGAAGGCACTTTTTAAAACTCTACAGAGAGGAAAGAACTTTTAAGAGTAACTCAAGGGCTATCAAAGCCACCTGGATCTATCATCATCCACACTGACATGAGAGAAATCAAATCCATATTCTCCTAGTTAATAAGGTTTATTACATCAAACTTCCTTAAGTCTAACATGGGCTTAATGAAAATTAAAAGCCAATGCTTAATCACTAATAAAATTCCAAGAAATAAACTTACTTTCAAAATAAGTCAAAAACATTTTCAGTAAAGTAAAAATAATGCAAACAATATTTATTGCTTATATTTACATACTCAAGTAATGGGCTACAAAGTTTAAAAGAACTACATATAATTTTAAAGAGCCCATGTCTAATATGGTGTGGTCACACACGTCTGTGATCCTGCATAGGATGCTGAAGCAGTTTGAGCCTAGGCAACAAAAGACCCTTGTCTAAAAATACACTTGTCTAGATAGTTGTGAAATCATGAAGAAAACTACCAAAAATAAGGCTTATTCATGTTATAATTATATATAACATATATACAAAACAGACTCTAGAGCACTGGATATTTTACTGAAGTGTTTTACTTGAATTACATAAGATATATAGGAGTATAAGATCCACGTCATAATTTGACAATTCAGTGACAGACAAAAATACCATGTTACTTCTGGCCCTATATTTTTTTTATAATACTAAAGATGCATAAAAGATAGATTATAAACTTTAATAACTAGTACTTCCATCTTCTTATAAATATGATATCAACCTAGAATTTTTAAAAATAAATCTGAGCTGGGCTCAGTGGCATATAACTACATATCTAGCTACATGGGAGACTGAGGCAAGAAGGCTTCTGGAGCCCCAGAGTTTTTAGTCAGGCTGGGCACCCTAAGTGAGGCCTTGTCTAAAATAAAATATAATAAAAATAAAAACAATTCAGATGGCTCCAACTTGCTGCTATTCAGGTAATCCTTCATTCTGCTACACTCTGCCTTACAAATGCCTTAACAGTTAGATTGAATGTTAATAATATGTTTCTTTTCTAGAGTCATATGGTTAGGAAAAAAAACAGCTAACAATCTTTGTCTTCCTCATTTCAATTTCAAACTACCAACCCAAATTTCTTCTCCACTCTCTCCACCCCTTAGTACAAGGACTAAGTGCTTAAAATATGCATATGAATCAAAATAAGAGCCAGGTATTTTTCAATTCAGTGATACAAAGGAAAAATTAAGCATATTTCTAATGAGAACAGTCTCTAGGTTCCATACAGGCCAATCCATCAGGTCATCTTCTTTCTCCTGTCCTTCAAGGCATGTTCCAGGACCCTCTCCCCCCTAGTCCAGTGACACCAGTGGGTGTATCAGAGCTCTCCTCTCCCCTCATCCACCTCTATGGCATCACAATGACTCTCAGATGAAGACATTCTAGAACCACAAAGGTCTCTGAGGTTTCCTAAACCACTCAAGATGTACATCTGCCTCCTGGAATCAGTCCCTTTATCTCAGCTTTAATTACCTCTGTCAACCATGTCTTGAACTTCCTCTCTATACAGATCCACTGCAGCTACAGGATCTCATGCTCACACACACAAAAAAATCTCCTTTCCTCAACCTATTTCTTCTACTCCATGTCTATTAACACTCCTATCACATCAGTCTAGTCCCTAGACTTCTAGCTCCTTGTCCTTGTTTTCCTGCCACAGCTAAACTCATAAAGTGATGCTTAAGTTTCTTTTTACATATCCACCTCTGATTATACCAAATCGTCTTTCCTTAGTAAAGTTTTTATAATGATGCATATTAAGTTACAAATTTCATAGCATCCATTACAGATGCATGGTGTCCAAACATGTCCATTCCTTAGTGCCCCCCTAGTTTTGCCTACTAAAACTCAAAATATTAGCTGTATGTACTCTTGCCAAAATGACTGCCATAATTTCCTTCCCTACATCTACACCATGGTAGTTTCAGCTCCAGGATGAAGCTGGCTTGACTGTGCAACTTCCTTTGATCAATAGGACACTGTCACAAGGCCAGGTTTTTAAAAAGGTTGTTGACTCTTCCTGAGAATCTTCCTAAAGCAAGAAGCCACAATTATTAGCCTGCTAGATGACGAGTCTTATGATCTTCACCCTCTTCAAACACAACTGCCAAATGCCAGGTTTGAGCAAAAATACCTGAGCTCCTTCAGGCTTATCCAGCCAGTCTAGTCCGGAGGAATCATCCTTTAGCCCCCAGAACTGAGAAGCACTTGCAACTTTAAACCACTGTTAGCGGGAATTGTTATACAGCAAAACCTAAGGGATACTACACCTTAACAATGTTTAACAACGTACCGAAAAGTCTGTCAATATTTCATTATATAACAATAGATTCTACTTTGAAACAGGTAAAAAGAATTATTAGAAATGAAAATGACTTTTCCTCTGGAAATCCACTTCAATACCCTTGATTCTTCAATTCATTAAATTGCTGACAAACATAAAGCATAAATAATCTGAAAACAGTACTTCCCTCCTCCTTTGCCTTCCTCCCTTCCATTCTTCTCTCATCCTTTCTTCTTTACTTTTCTCTCTTCTCTCTCCTCCCTGCCTCTCTCTTCCCCCATACCCTCTCAGCCTTGGCAGGGATTTGAGCCCAGGCCCTAAAGCACCATTTTAAATGCTTTCTAATATAAAAACTTACTCTCTTACATCTCTGTTTAGTAAAGATCAAATGACAACTCCAAACAAGGAAAAGGAAAAGAACAGTATTTTTCAGAAAATATTAGGTCCTAAGTGCATAAAGTGCAATAACTGTAACTGAGGGGAGGGCCTTACATTTACAAGGTTCTTACATTGAGATGTACACTTGAAATGTTTAGGCTTTTCTATGTGCATTAAAAAATAAAAAGGATTTTTCTATCATTCATTAAGCACGTTCCAGAGAGAAAAACTGAATACTGGGCAAAGTATTTTTAACAGTTTACAAATGCGCACACTGAGTATCTCAGAAACCAGTCAGTAAGGTTCCCCACACATGGTAAGCCAGGCTAGCCAGACTTCCAACATCTGTGTCTAAATACTAATTAGGTACAGACTGGCTTTGGAATCCTAAATATATGGCTAACAAAATAACACTTCCTCCAGTACTCTGGAAACTCATTGCACCTTTCTTAGCTTAGATCACAGCTATTATCTTCAGAAAATTAGCTTTAAAGCTATAATACAGCAAGTTACTCTTCCACCCTTTCCACTCCTGGGCCTCTCCTGCCCCTATTGAATCCTCTGGGCTTTATATGTTACCAGCCATTCATCAGAACATGGCCATTATGGATCTGCACATGAGTGAGGCCAGCATTGATGAGATAACTATGGGCAAGGTCACTTGTCCATCAGAAGACTGCCCTGTGGCCCAGTAAGAATTAGAATACGAGAAACAATAGGTGCAGAAACTTACTACAGGAAATTTATACAAATGTGAGTTATTTAGGCTGGAATACCCAGACTTGATTGATCTGACAGGACAAGTATGGTCACTGCACTGAGCAGCAGTCCTCTAGGAATTCGACACACTCAAGAAGTCACACACAATAAACATCAAGTCTCCAGTCTGAGAACTCAGCCACATTCACTTAAAGGTATCCTTGACCTCTCTGCAGTAACCTGAAACTTCTGTAAAATACATGGAAGTCTCCAGCTGAGTTTTCTCTGGCAACTCCTGATCTCAACCTCTTTCGGGCAGTTTGACTGTTGCTTGTATTAAAAATTTCATAATGTAAAATAAGTAAATATCCAAGCAAACATATCACAGTGCCTTCTGCCATGGGGCTAAGCTTGGTATTCTCCTGTTTCCTATGATGCATCAAACTGCTGAGTACTTTGCTAGCTGCTTTACTTAAGCCAAAGACTGAGGGGATGGTGAGAGGAAATGCAGCCAAAACAGGGATAACGCCTGCCACACATCCATCCACATGAACCACATGATCATTAAACAGTTCAACTATTTTAACCTGAGTGCGGCACTTCCTTGAGCTTATCAGACATTCCGTGATCACTGAAGTTGTAGAAAATTCCAGCTTTGGAGCAATTCCCTGCAAGATTAAAAAATGGTATTTTTACATATTAAAAAGATACAGTTACTGGTGAGAATAGGATCTAAAAATCACAAATACTTTTCAAGACTGAGCACTTCATTTCTTAGTTTCATCTTTTTATTATTATGAAGAACATAGTAATGATAAATATTACTAATTAGCAGTTTCATTACTAATAATTTGGTCTGGAACAATTATATTACTTTTATGGAATAATTTAAAATTGTTTTCATTTTCAAGTGTCTCTCTGTCAAAGTGTTTGAAGATTTTAAATTATAACATATTAGTCAGAAATATGTGAATGTATTTAATTGATTTTAACATTCTTTACAGTTACAATTTTAGACATTTAACCACATAATCAAGACATAATTATTAGCTCTATTTAGCCATTCCAGAAATTCTACATACATCAAAAACCATTGTCTATTACAAATATATATAATATTTAACTGTCTATTAAATTTTTATATTATATTTTAATACATTTTAATTAAAATAGAATTCTATTACTTTCCTCTTCCATTTCATCCCTCAAGTTCATCCTACACCCTTCCACTCTATTAATTTTTTAATGGAATAGTTTGGATGCCTCATTGTAAAAATAGCAAAACTCCCAATTGTGCAACCTTCAGACAGAGGAGGTCTCTGAAATTTTTCTATAGCCTTTTTCTTATAATATACTTTATATTCAGGTGTAGATATTAATCTGGGTTCTATCTCTACCAACATTTCAATAATCAACTTGAACCATTTTGAGATAAATGGAGAAAAGGAGACAGTTCAAAGGGACAATTACAAAGCATCCAAGGAAACATCTGGAAGTCCACATTATACATACACCAACTGTTAACCATGTCAGCTAGCCCTTGAGTAGCTTTTCCCTAATGCAATAGAAGTCAGACACTAACCAAGCCCTCTGTAAACCCTGTCTGTGAACAACTAAGTTTAGAATTTAAAACATATCCATTATAAAGGGTAAATCTGAGTTGCTTAAGAATCAATTATCAATGATATCTACTACACCCACTTGTTAGAGATCTACTATACATAATATATTTCTCTAAAACTTGGTAAGTGTGGGTCACATTCAAAGACTCAAAGCTAGGCTATTTTTTCAATGGAGGAGTATTAAATATGTATGTGCAGTTTTCCTTGTGACTATAAATTGCATTCTTCTTACATGCAAAATACACTCATGCTCCTTCCCCCCAAAAAAGGAAGCAAGAAGTCTTGACCTTTTACAACTTTACAAACTCAGTTTAAAATCCAGTGTTGGCATGTAAGAATCGTCACATAGGTAAGGTTCTTTGGTTATACATCAGTATTGCTTCTAGAATAGTTCTTCAGAGTCAGAAGACATAAGAACTAGAGAGACAAGCTATCTATATGACAACACCCACTGTACACGTGTGCAGCAAGCACAGGGCAGTCTATGCACACATTCCCATTCAAATGTGGGCAAAGTGGCAGAACCACTGGTGCCTAACAATCCCAAAATCCAGACAGAGAGGAGTATCAAAGAATTTCTGTAAATATAGCCAATGTGTCATTTAATGATGAGGATTTGGACTGAAAAATTGTCATTAGGCAATCCATCCTATATACTCCCAGAAATCTAGAAAGTACGGCCTGTTATATAACTAAATAAACACCATAGCCACCACTGTACATATAGTCCAACTCCAATCAGAACATCAAGAAGTGCAAAACTGTCTACCATCGCCAGCTGACCTGTGGCATTCCACTTTAAACTTCCCTGAGTATTGCTTATCTCACTGTGAGTTCCCAGTAGCTAAGATAATGGTTTGAATTGTCCAAGCGTTCTAAGCAAATCCACAAAAGTGCCATGATTTAACTCCAGATAATGGTTTGAATCCTTGTCACAGTAGTGGGACTCACAGAAGGTAGCTCAGAATTACAAGAATTCTTAAGACAAGTCATTGTTGCCTGCCAGGACCACAAACCACTGACTAGAGCACTTATTTTCACTTATATGTAAACAGAATAATTGATATGGCTGGATTTATATCCTAATGTTGATGTTCAGTTTACTTTCTGTTCCATGCCTTTTCTATTATTCAATTTTTCATAGCAGCCACACTGGGTTCCACCTCTGCTGACCTTCAGTGATAGGTGAAGAAATGAATTCATAGCTACCGCTAGTTTCCCTGTACTTCTTTTAATCTCTCATTGTCTTTCAAGGTGAGACAGGAAAGAGAGAGAGCTTCTCCTAGCTTCTTCTTGTCCATTTGTTTCTGGACCTTTCTGTCAACCTTCTAGAAGGTGTGCCATTGACCCCAATAGGCCTTGCACAGTTGTAAGGTTTCTTCATCTGCTACCAAGAGGATCCACTGTGTTTAGCTGGCAGAGCCAAACCATTCACCCCACTTCTCAAACCCTTGGCCCCAAAGCTGCTGCTCTTTGTGCCCAGTCTCAGCTGTAAAGATACAGTTGTCACTGAGAAGTAGGGCATGGGGGCATCCCAGGCAAAGGAGCCCCAAATTCCTGCTATATTACCTAAAACTTGAGCCAATTTTCAAGCATAAAAATTTCATCTGCTATGAAGACCCACAGAGGTTTCCTAGTGAGAACTTACTCAGGGTCAGAGAATCTGAGCCTGCTTTACCCAGCAGGGCTGCATAATGGGATGATTTGACCATAGGTGTGGTTACCAGGTGTTTGGAAGGGTCTACACTTGGCTGTACAGTATGCTTTGATCATGCCTGGGGGAGGTCTTTTGCCCCTCCCCTTGGCATTATTATAAAAAGCCTTTTGAATAAAGCCTCGAGGCCACTGGGTATTAATCCTGGCTCTCCTGAAGCTGTCCTGTGTTTGTCCTTGTTCTCGTTGATTAGGTCTCTGCTCCTATCTAATATTTTCTTATCCCTCCTTCTTCCTCCTAAGAACCCTTCAAAAGGTGGGAGCTGGACTCCCACAATCTGCTTGCTGTACTTGTTAGTCTGTATTCACTGCCCAATGTTAACTATGGTAACTTTGTCCAGTTTCACACGTGCTTGGTACACAGAGAAGATCTGCCAAACTCTTCACACGGCTGTTATTGGAAGTCCTGATTTTTATATATCTTTGCCTCAGTTATAAAACACTTTCTGAATATATGCAAAAGAAACTCAAGTTAAGTGATGAAAGAAAATTCCTGTGAACAGTCCACACAGTTGACTTTCGATTGCTGTCTTCATATGACAAGGCAAGTTAAATTACCTTAAAGAGAAGATAAACTAAATATGATATTTTTTCTTTATGAGCTTCCACATGACTCTTAAAATACTCTTTGAACACAATGATAGTATAAAAGCTAACAACATAAAAAAAATCCAGAAAAGAAAGGTTTTCATTTGTTACAGACTCAACTTTTACACTTTCAGTAAACTGAACTTGCTATTTCTTTGGACATAGCTTATCATAAACCTAGACATACAGGAAAATCTATTTAATTCACTATATTAGCTCATATACCACCCACTTTATTTATTTATATTAGGATTCCATAAAATTTATTTAAAAACTGTTTGTCCAAATAATTTCAAGTTAAACAACTTTTACTTCTCTGCTTTTGAAACAAAGTGGGCATCTCTGAGTTCTTCTGAGTAGCAAGCTGACTTCCAGGAATAAAGATATTTTCAAATCAGAGGAGTTACAGGAAAGGATGGGAGAGCTTTGTGTGGAGGCAGTATTGGGTCTAATGTTTATTTGTCCCACAATTATTACCACTCAGAAAGAAAGGTTCTCTTAATGCAGCATTTGAACTTAGGTGTGCAATCAATGAACACTGTATAATCTATCTATCCAAGCTTTATCCAAACTGGAATAAGTTTCAGTCATTTCTATTTGTTACACTGTTACAGCACTATACGAAAACATCTTAGCCTGCTGTGCTGTGGCTCAGTGGTAAACTGATGACTAACATGCACAAGGCCCAGGGTCCTAGTTTCTAGCACCAGGAGTAAAAGCAATGTAAGAGGGCTCTTGGTATCCCAGTGAGTATATGTTGAAGACATACACCTAGAAGATAATATGCTAGAAAAACATTGGTCTTTATTAAATAATTTTGCGTTTTGATTGTTTCAGCTTATGACACAGCAGCATACAAAAATTCTCAATTTATAAATATTTAATATTTCTTCATATTTTCCAGCAAATCATATATGTCTAAAAAGTCATGTTTTAAATTTTGGTTTCCCTAAATGTTGAGACTGGTTATTGCTCAAATGTTTGTTAAATTTTCCCGAGACAGAAACAGAAAAGGTGACAGACACGGAGGGATGAGGATGGGCAGTGCAGAGGAGAAACAACTTGCAAGTTGTGAAGAAGGCCAGCCAATATGATCTGTGTTAGTTTCGGCAATAAATGCCTTGATTTTTGCTAAATTGTTTTCATTATGTTCAGGATACTTAAAATAACCCAATTATATGAAACAAGGTTGAAAACAAATTAAGTTTTTTTTTTTAGTTAGTTCTACACATTCAATGCACAGAAGCCTGCATGCTTGTTCTTACCCATGACCCTGCATCAAGAGCTGACTTGAAAACTGCAATTACTTACTCTTAGTCCAGAAATCCTCCTCATGGTAACCTGGCGGTTTGAATCATGGTGTCCAGAAACTTGGTTTGGACCCGGGAACATGAAATCTCGTGTATTTTCATCATAGGTAGACAGTGTTTCTCCCACTATAAGAAAGATATCCTATGATTCAAATTATAACAAAACATTCTATTTAGAAACAAAATCATCAAGTATAATATATATATATTGCCTGATGCCTTACTGTATACCTGCTTGAAGGCAATGTTTATCTTCTATAAAAGGAAAATTAAAATAAGGATATATTAAATACTTTAACATTTTTTTTTCAAATTCAGGAATATGGTATATATTAGTAAACCTCTGCCTCACACCTTGGAGAACAGTAGTGTTCATGTACACTCAGTGAGAACCAATGAACTCTTTGAAAAAGGAGTTCTTTAAAAATACAAAGTTGCATTAAATTTATATACCCAAAGCTTATTACCATCTCTAGCAACTTCTGTCTTCTATCTTTTGTGTTTTCCCTCATGTGGTGTAAGACTGGACATTAAGAATAATTGATACCCTTTGTAGACTTTGTGGCTAGTGAATTAAGTATGCGTGCAATAACTGAAAATTCTGAGATTACTTGTATTTAATAAAATAGAGATATCTGCTGCATAAAATGAAGATTTAACTAAGATTTCTTTGATAGTCCTAGAAATCAGTAACAATACTAACACTAGTCTATATTTTAACAGGTAACCTCTCTCCTCAGGAACTCATGTTTACCTTGTAAGTAAATAAGGCTACCACCCTCTTCATTCCCAAAAATTGTCAACACACAAAAAACAAAACAAAAATCCTGTTTAATAATTATGTGTAATTTTATTTTTAAAATCTCAAAAATTGAAAATTCAATTTACATTACTGTCAAAAATATTCTAAAATTATAAAGATGATATCTTCCACTTTCAATTATTTTAACATGTTTAACTTTGGAACAATGCATTAAATTGGCATTCATATAAACTTATCTGTGTCTGTTGTTTTGGCATATATATAGTGAATCACTGGTTTAAAAAATAAGCATTGCTGCTATTTGGTAGATAGAGGGTAGAAGAGATATTTAGAAATATTTCATTGAGATGAGTTGCCTCATCAATATGTAATACAATACCTGGTGGAACTAGCTGTATCAACTCGAACACTGCTGTATCATCTGAAAGTTTGAAGGAAAAATCTCCTTAAGTCAAAAAGTCAATAACAATGAGTTACTCTAATCTACTTCTGAGAACTCATTACAAAAGCATAATTGCTTCCTTCATTCCTTTAACTTCTGCTGTTTTCCATGAATGGAAGTCCAATTCAACCTTCCACCCATATATTCCATCTATGAAGAAATATTACATTCTCCATTTATGTCATAACTTGGCACTCCAATGAGAAAATAAATATGGCCCTTTTTCTTATATCCTTCTTTGTTTGCCAAAATACAACCTGCAAGTTGGACCAGTGTGTATGGGCATTTGCTGCCATGCCTGAGGACCTGAGTTTGAATCCTGAGAGCCACATAATGGAAGCAGGGAAGCAACTACCGTAACTATAGCTCTGACTTCCATGTGTGCCATAACAGAAGAACAAGTGCCCCCCACACACAATAAATAAATATTAAAAATCAAAAGCCAAAATAATTACTGAATAGACAACATGTTTGTTTATCCCTTAGTAGACTGTGCAGGTTTTTATATGTTATATCTATTATGTTATATCTATTAATCTGAGTGATAACAATTTATGTACATTATAAAAGACCTTCTAAAATATTTTTTTAAATTTTCAAAAGAAAAAGAAATCATCTCTATCCTCTGAGAACCCACTAAAAAGCTATGTGCTTCCTTCCATTAACTAGTGCTATTTTCCTTGGAGTCTCGTTCTACCCTCCATACATATATTCCATCTATAAAGAAATTTCAAATTCTCCACTTAGGTTACAGCTGGGAGCTACAAAGAGAAACACAGATGTGGCTCTTATCTTACATCTTCTTGTTTATTTGTTCATCTACTCAAGGCAAGGCTTCACTGTGTACCCTGGGTTGGCCTAGAATGTGTCATCTTTCTGTCTTAGTCCTTTAAGAACAGGCTACAGATATGTTCTCATAACCAGTAAGATGTGGATTTTTCCTAAGAGTCTTAAATTCCACAAAGGAGATAAATATTAAACAAAATAAAACCATCAATGAATATGTAATTATAATCCACAAGTACAATGAAAGCATTGGGAAATGTCATGAAATACTGTAATAAAAATACCTAAGCCAGTAAGGAGGGCAGTGAAAGTTCACAAACTGGTCTTCAGTACCCATATATAGCAAGAGTTACAGGATATAAACTGGGAATTGGGAAGCGAAGGGCATAGAGTTTCTTAAAGCAGAAAGAACAAACATACAAGACTCAAAATACAGCAGAGCAAGGCAGTCTAGAAGATAAATATCTAGGAACAAGGCTTCTTCTAAAATCAACTGAAATATGTAGACAACTAAATAAATAAATAAATAAATAAATGCTAAGCACTAAAACTGGGTAAAATAGAAACTTGGTATATAAAAAGGAAATCCAGAGAGATGAGCCCGGCCTTAGGGGCTGCTTTTTCTTTCTCATATCTGACAAATCTGATAAGTAGCTAAGAGGCAAGAAATTCACAATGACTTTTGATAGACTCATGGCATGGACCTTAAAGTACATAACTAAATCAGGAAAGTAAAATAATCAACTACAGCCTCATGGAAAAACATGACTTTAGGAGTCAGAAAGCGAGCGGTAGGGGAATGGGGTAGGGGGAAACCAAGTCAATGACCTGAAAACCTGACTGACGAACAGTCTTGGTTCAGAGAGGATTAAACCTGTGTTTGGATGAGAATGGCCCCCTCCAAAGGCTTATATATTTTGAAGATTAGGAGCTGTGGCCTTATTGAAACAGGTGTATGACTGAAGGTGGGCTTTGAGATTTCAAAAGCCCATGCCATTACAGTTGGCTCTCTCTCTCTGCCTCTTGGTTGTTATCTCAACATGTGAGCTCTCAGCTACTGCTCCAGTGCCTGCCTGTCTCCCTGCCAGCTGGTGTGCTCCCTTCCATGATAGCCATAGACTCACTCTCTGAAAACTATAATAATAATAATAAGTAATAATAATAATAATAATAATAATAAGTAAGCCTCCAATTAAATGCCTTCTTTTATAAGTTGCCTTGGTCATGGTATCTCTTCACAAAAACAGAAAAGTAAGACAAAACCTAAATGTAAAGGATAAAATAAAATATAACCAATTTTGAAATAGCTCAAATCCAGCCTGAATTAAGATAATTCAAGTAATTATTTCTACATTTTTACAGCATTTGGCATTCAAACTAAATCAAAGGGGTATGTAGAAAAATAGATAAATTGAGATTTTAAAACTAAGGAAATAAATTCGAAGATCTAGAAACTAAGTAATCTACATACTCAGAAGGTGCCATTTATGCCAGCAATGACAAGAATTTAATGCCATTTAAGACATAGTCTTAAAATTTGCTGCAGGACTTATACTCTGGCATGTAAGGGGCTTGAAAGGATTTACTCTAGCCTAAAAGCTGTAAATGAGCAACTCTTCTAGTATACCTCAGGAAGGTGACCTCACAGGACAAAGGCAGGTAGTTAAGAGGAATCACAACAGAGCAGAAATGCATAAGCAGAGCCCTCTATGGGAGCTTTATGGGGAGGAGTATTGAGTTTTACCTCAGGATCCTCACTGTGAACATTGGAAAAAAGTTCTCTCTGACTCCTAGGGGAAAGGAAGCATTTGGAAGTATGCCAGAGCATTCTATTCTTTATAACAAGGCCTTCTCTTGGGAACAGGCCTTTTTCTTGGGTTCTACCTGCAGATTTTTTTTTTTGAAAAACCCTAATCGACCTGGTAAAAGGTAAGTCCCAATTCTAGCCAACTCCAGGCTTCTACCAGGAGCAGGTGAAATACTCAACTACAGTGTCAGCTTTTTTGTCCATGGGAGAAAGGAGATACTCAGCTATCCAGCCCTCCTGTCCTAGGGAGAGATAGGACCTAGAAACACCGGTAGAGTTCACATGGGCTCATCAAAGCATAGCTCCACTCACAGAAGACAGAATGCTCTCTCCTCGGACCTTACCAACACATTGAAGTAGACAGCTACCAAAGTTCTTTCCTCTGCACACCATGACTGGCTTTCAACAAGAGCATGGCAAACTAACGTGAAAGAGCAAGAGTGCACTGTGGAGACCTTGGTCACACAAACGGGGACATTGAAGTGACAGAATCAAACACTAAAAACAAAAACAAAAACAAAAAAAAACCAAAACACTTTGAGCTGAGGATGTAAAGAATTTACTGAGCTCATACAAGACCCTGGGTTTAATCCCCATAATGAAAAAAACTCCACAAATTTTGAGAACTATAACATTCAAAGAGATCTAGTATGCAAAAATAGAAATGTTATAAAGGCATGTTAGCAGACACGGAAATTCTGAGAAAGAACAAAAAGAAATGCTACAGATCAGAATACTACAACTGAAAAGAATGCCTGTGGTAAACTTACTGGTGGGTGGCACATGGCTAGAAAACAATCTCAAAGCATTAAGAGTATAACAATAAAAACGTTCAAATCATCAAAGAAAGACAAAGCAAAGAACATTATCTAAGAATTGTAGGGCAACTACAAAAGATGTAAGGTATAATACTAGGAACACCAGAAGAAACAGAAGGAACCCTGATCCTTACAAGGATGGAAGAGCTGGGACAGGATGGATTACTAGAGTTACTGGCAGTTTACTGAGGCAAATAGAAACATAAAGACCATTTGCCAAAGACAACAACTTCTAGAAGATAAGCAAAAAGGGGGCAGTGAGAATACTACAAATTCCCAAAGTTTGTGAATTACATCAAATAAACACCCAAGGAGCTCACTGAACTAGAAGAAAAAGTCTTTGAAGCAGCATGAGAAAAGCAACTTAGCATTTTGAAAGCATCTTTTAAAGATCCATGGAAGCAGAAAGAGTCACTAGAAAGTCTGGAGGCCAGAGGGCCAGATGCTGACATGTGCAAAATACTAAAAGAAATGGGCAACTCAATTAAGAAGGCCTGGTATGGTGATGCACATCTTTAATCCCAGCACTCAGGAGACAGAGGCAGACAGATCTCTGTGAGTTAGAGGCCAGCATGGTCTACAAAGTGAGTTTCAGGACAGCCAGGGATACACAGAGAAACCCTGTCTTGAAAACAAAATGCTATGTCCAGTTTTTAAAAAATGTCTTTCCAAACTATTAGAAAAATTAGCATATCATAGACATACAGTTATGAATGTGAAAGATTGTAGGGAGAAAGGGAACATACTGGACTAGGTGGTAGGGAGCTAGGAGAGTGTGGGAGTGAGCGTGGCTGATACACATTTTGTACATGTTATTCAGTTATACACACAATGGGAGACCATGAAATTATATGAAACAAAGAATATTAACTGAAGAAAAATGAACATACAACAAAATAATTGCAGCCTAAATAACCTACTCTCAGTAGTTGATAAAACAATGAGACAAAAGATAAAAGTTCTTAGACCTACAACACAATAAACCTGAGATATAACATATATATATATATATATACCCAGCTTTGATCTGGAAGTTCCAACCCCCATTGAAGCTTCGGTAACTGTCACGCCTACAAGGTGGGGCCGAGAGAGGACCCTGAAGACCCAAGAGCCGGATGTGCCAGCTCTTTTGGTTCCTGGACCCTGGTCGCTGGAGGTAGACTGAGCAGAGTTCTCCAGAGAACACCACCAGATTGTGCTACACCTTTCCCAGACGCTGTTACCTATTCCTTTGCTTGTGAGTTACCCCACAAAATAAACCTCCCTCTTAACTATGTGAAGTTGCCTTAATAATTTCACCAATAGATATATAATATACTCTATTGGCTATGTGTGGTAGCATGTTCCTAATTTCTCATCACTCAGGAGGCTGAGGTGAAGGGTCACAAGTTTAGGGTCAGTTTCAGTTCTAAACTACCCTGAGCTATAGAATACATACAGCCTTGTCCTAACAAAAATGAAACACATCCTAGAGGAGATAGGAATGGGGGATGGACTGGGGAGTGGGGGGAGGAGGGAGGACAGGGGAGTCCATGGCTGACATGTAAAATTAAATCAAATTATAAAAT